ACCGCTGTACATTCTAGCTTTGGCCTAACAAAAGTTGTGAACAATTTCTTTAGTATTTCGCCATCCATGTACAGTATTTAAAAGTAATTCTGAAGTTAGAAATCGTAGCATAGGTTCCTCTCACAATGTTCTTTATGTGGTCCTCAGGTGATAGAAAACTGTCTAGAACCACCCCTAGATCTTTCTTTCAGAAGTCTTTAAAGATTTTCCACATAATTTATAGATTATGTGGGGTCTGTGTTCTATTCCTCATTCCATAACATGGCATTTATGCTCATTAAATTCCATTTGCCAAGTGGTGCTCTATATACTTATTTTGTCCAGGTCTTCTTGAAGGGGCATTACAATCATCTAAATTTCTTATCCTTCCTATTATCTTGGCATCATCAGCAAACATGTTCATATAATTCTGTGTTCCATCTTGCAGATCATTTATGTAGACAATGAACATCATGGATGCAATAACTAAACCCTTTGGTACTCCACTTGTGACATTTCTCCACTCCGATACATTGCCTCTGATTACTGCCCTCATATTTCTATCAGTTAGAAATTGTTTTATCCATGTTAGAAGCTTACCTGTTACCCCTCCTATATGTTCCAGTTTCCAGAACAACCTCTTATGTGGAACTCTGTCGAAAGCCTTTTTTAGATCCAGATATATGCAGTCAACCCATTCATCTCTTTCCTGTAAAATCTGTGGCTCAATTATAGAAAGTGAATAAACTCAATACACAAGATCTAACAGATTGAAAACCATAATGTCTGTCTGATATTATATTGTTTCTCTCCAGGTGTTCTACCCATTTAGTTTTAATTATTTTTATTTTAATTATATTATTGTGCGGCATTAGGGGAGCTGCTGCAGCTTGCATTCGGAGTGGATATCACTTTTCTGTTTTGCAAGCTTTCTCGTGCACTGTTTCACCTGTGGCCTGCTTATGCGCCGCCTGAAACTTCTTGGTCATTGGATCGGGGTTTTTCTTTTCTTCTTAGTTTGTAGTAGCCCCATCATTTCGTGGTTGTTTTTGGAAGGCATTGTTTTTGTTGGCCTTGGCCTCTGGGGGTTGGGTTTGGGGGCTTCATGCTCTTCTCTGGCATGGGGGTTTTGTTTCTTTGGTCCTAGTGGTCGTTTTGTTCATTTGCAGCTGTCTCCTTTTCTGGAGATGAATGGGCTGGTGGGCTTCCGAAGGGGTCCGTTGGTTGTGGATACTTGGTTGGTTAGGCTGCGGGTGCATCATGTTCTGTGCCAAGTGGCTGCTTTACACTGCTACCTGCGGGCCATCGGCTCTGTGTCGGTGAACGCTCTTTGGGTTGATCTGGTTTACTTCGTTCCCGATTCCAGGGCTCATGTTTTTCAGCTGTCTCTTCCTCACCCGCGGTGCTATCCCCTTCCTGGTAAGTCCCTGTTTGCCTTCTCTGTGGGTACTGTAGTTGGCTTCAGGAAGCCGACGGGGCTCCCCACAGAAAACCAGCGTTGAATATAATGAAACACCAGTTTCTGGGTGAACCTTGGAGGCTCTCTTGACACCCTCCCTCCCTTTAGTTGACGGCTTTCATCATTCAAGAACTGAATTGGTGAGTTGCTGGGGGGGGGGGTAGTTGGATGAAATGTTGCTCGTTTGTTTTCTTTCTGGAGGAGTTCTTTTGCTATTTTGAAGATGTAGCTCTCAATTTTCAACCAGATAGTGGTCTGTATTGATTCGCCAGTATGGCAAGTATGACACTGTACTTTAAATGTAAAGTGTTCATAGGCCATTGCTCCCTGCACCTCTCTGAGGAGGCTAAGTTCTGGCTCATAGTCTCTGGTAGGCATAAGAACTCTGTCTGATGACCCCCAACTAATATAGCACTGCTAGTATATCAGGTCAGATAGCTTTAGGGAGCCTCTGGGGCTCGCCCAAAAACTGGCATTTCATTACATTCAATACTGGTTTTTTTCCATAAGATAGCTAGAATGTGTGTTCATTAAACAGTGTTGTTTTCTGTGGCTTATTTAAAGATCTGGTTTGCATCAGTTTGGAGGTTTGCTGTATTCTCTGCCATTTGTCATCATAAAAATTCTAGTGTCTTCTGCAAAGGATGATACAGCACTATACAGTGGTTTATGTCCACATGTTCTGTATATATCTCCTATGAGAGAGAGTACCAGAGCTGGTGGGATATGGTAAAATCTTTCACAAAACAGTATGACAAGTCTACCGTATACATTGTTAAGATGTATTAGCTTAGGTTAGGCTCGGTTGGGTTAGGGTAGAATAAGTTAGATTTGGGTTGGGTTTAGGTAGGTTTTAAAATCTGTTGGTGAACCATTTTGAGTACTGTACTGTACATTGTGGCCTGTATCTGAGCAAGTACATTACCCTGGGAAAGACTTGAGATATTTCCATTCGTAGATGATCCAAATATTATATCTGTTGACTTATAGTTTTTGAGTTGCATTTGTTATTAAATTGATGACTGTACTCACCTAGTTGTGGGGGTTGAGTTTGGCTCTTTGGATGTGAGAATGCCAATTTCTTTGAGGAATAACCATGGAAGATTCAAATATGAGATGTCAGTGAGGAAATCTTTGTTACCTAAGAAATGAGATATGCATATTCCAGTGACCCTAGTACAGTAGTTCACCATTAACACATGTTTATTACAAAGTCAGCACTTTTTGTGAGAATCAAAATACTGTTAGGGTTAGTACAGAGCAAGCATTTATTTTATTTGTTTCTTCCTGATGTCTTGGTTACCAACAAGGCTACATTAACTGACAACTGTTGGTTATGGTATTGTCGGATATTTAAATAAAAAATCTAAAGGTATAAAATAAAAATTAAAAAATGTCTAATCAAAATGGTATACTGCATACTCAGTACAGAGTATGAACTGTATTAACTCAAAACATTTCTTACAATAATGTAATGTTATTGACACTTGTATGGTACTTTAAAGAAATTTGCTTTAAAGTGCTTTACACTGCAATAACAAGAAATAACAATCAATATGCTCTACTGCTACAGGTGATTGTCAGTTCTATTATGCTATTAATTTGGGCTGGTAGAGGGTCTAGTACTGCCAATAATTCTGTTTAAGGAACCTTCGAAAATGGATTGGGCCAATTACAGAATCCCATCTCAGAGTTTGAACTGCCATTCCTTTGAAATTGGAGTTTTCACTTTGTACCTTACCTACTCTGGTTACCTTACCTTGTGATGGTTTAGTGTCCCAGCGGCCCAGTCCTCGCTCAGGCCTCTTCGTTGCTGGACTGGTCAACCAGGCTGTTGGATGCAGCTGCTCGCAATCTGACGTATGAATCACAGCCTGGTTGATCAGGTATCCTTTGGTGGTGTTTATCAAGTTCTCTCTTGAACACTGTAAAGGGTCGGCCAGTTATGCCCCTTATGTGTAGTGGAAGCATGTTGAACAGTCTCGGGTCTCTGATGTTGATAGTTCTCTGAGTACCTATTGTACCTCTGCTTTTCAATGGGGGCATTCTGAACATCCTGCCATGCCTTCTGGTCTCATGTGGTGCTATTTCTGTGCGCAGGTTTGGGACCAGCTCCTCTACTATTTTCTCTGTATAAATTATTAGGTATCTCTCCCGCCTGCACTCAAGGGAATACAGATTTAGGCATTTTAGTCAGTCCCAATAGTTTAGATGTTTTACTGAGTGGATTCTAGCAGTAAAGGATCTCTGCACGCTCTCCAGGTCAGCAATTTCTCCAGCTTTGAAAGGGGCTGTCATTGTGCAGCAGTACTCCACTCTAGAGAGCATTAGCATCTTGAAAAGTATCATCATTGGTATAGTTGTAGCAACTCTGATTTGAAAGGTTCTTGTTATCCAACCTATCATTTTTCTTGCAGTTGTGACAGCCACTTTATTGTGTTCTTTAAAGGCAAAGTCTTCTGACATGAGTACTGTACATCCAAATCCTTTACATTGCTTTTACGTTCTATGTTATGATCTGACTGCGTTTTGTATTTGGTTTCCATTTTTATATTTTCATTTTTTCCGTAGCGCAGGAGCTGGAACTTTATTAAACACCATATTATTTTCTGTAGCACATAGAAAGTCCTGATTTAAATCTGATTGAAGGTTTGTTGTGTCCTCTATGTTGTTTACACTCATAAAAATCCTAGTGTCATCTGTAAAGGATGATACAGTACAATAGATTGTGTCCTTGTTTATGTCCAATATGAGGATGAGGAAAAGTACTGGAGGAAGCACTGTACCCTGAGGGACTGAGCTCTTCACAGTTGATGGACCTAATTTTATTTTGTTGACTGTTGTCACATTTGACCATGTTGTTGACCACGTTGACCATGGTCACATTTGTCGAAGGTTTTTGCAAAATTGGTGTAAATTATTTCGGCGTTTTGTTTGTCTTCCATGGCATCTAATGCCATGTCTCTGCAACTCTGACAGGCAAGAACACCCTGTTCTGAAACCATGTTGTCCGGGGTTATGGCGATGCTGTGATTCCATGTATTTTGTGATCTTGCTTCTTGGCACTCTTTCAAAGATTTTTATGATGTGTAATTACCTACTGTGATGTTACTGTAGTGCTGTCGGTCTGTAATTTTTTTGCCTCTGCCTTATTTCCTCCTTTATGGAGTGGTGCTCTCTTAGCTGTTTTTAGTATGTTAGAGATAATGCCAGTAACCCTGACAGCTAACACATTTTCTCAGATATGTGTACAGTATAATATTCTTGAGATTCCATTATGCATCTTAATATGTTGATACCACCTGGAAGTGTTTAAACACAGATAAGGGTTATGCATAAACTATCCAGATAAGGGTTATGTATCAACTGATAAAGTAGTTAGATTTGGGACAATCAGATGCATAAAAAGTTATACTATTCATCCATAATTGCTGGTGTGTGTGTTATTCTTAGGTAACAAATTTCACAAGTTGCATACAACATTACATACATGCACATTAATATAGAGATTTGCCGTACTGTACTTTTTAATGTAGGTCTTGTACACTGATTCTACTTTCAGATTAAGAAGCACAAAAGGCAAGATGATTCAAGTGGGGATGTTCAACATGCCCCCACCCCCCATTCCCCAGGGGAAGCCCCCACCCCCGGGAGTGGGAACTCAACAGTTCCAGCCACTGTCATTCAAACCCTTCAAAGCTCCAGATGGCGAATTTGATGGCAAAAGGCTTCGGAAGAGTGTCATGCGGAAGACTGTCGATTATAACTGCTCTGTTGTAAATATGTTAGAAAATCGTGTGTGGCAGAGAGACGAGCGTGACCGCTGTACACTTCAAGCAGATGTTTGTTATGCTTCAGAAATACTTCCACCTATTGCATATCCTGTGAATCCAATTAATGCCGTCGTTACCAAGTTCGTGCGCACTTCTACAAATAAAGCCAAGGTAATGTACTGTACTTGTGTTATATTTTCATTCTGTAGCTGTCAATAAACTAGACAATATAACGTAAGACACACAAGTGCATGCACACACACACATTCTTTAAATCTTCATGTAATGATGACCGCATTACCCTGCGCCTAAAGGTTAAGAGTACAGTAGATATGACAGAACTTATAGGACCAAGGGTGCCAGTTGATTGTACATTTATAGGTACACTTGTACTTACAATTGTACACAGATGCACATAAACTGTTCTTATATCTATATATAGGAAAGACTGTGCATCTGTTCAAGGATGGAGGCCAGATGGTTAGGGCTAGTCTCACCCTAATTTCACACATGAAACACAGGGTGGAAGAGAGTGAGAGAGAGGGGTGGAAGAGAGTGAGAGAGAGGGGTGGAAGAGAGTGAGAGAGAGGGGTGGAAGAGAGTGAGAGAGAGAGAGGGGTGGAAGAGAGTGAGAGAGAGAGAGAGGGGTGGAAGAGAGTGAGAGAGACGGGTGGAAGAGAGTGAGAGAGAGGGGTGGAAGAGAGTGAGAGAGAGAGAGAGAGGTGGAGAGAGTGAGAGAGAGAGAGAGAGAGGGGTGGAAGAGAGTGAGAGAGAGAGAGAGGGGTGGAAGAGAGTGAGAGAGAGAGAGAGGGGTGGAAGAGAGTGAGAGAGAGAGAGAGGGGTGGAAGAGAGTGAGAGAGAGAGAGAGGGGTGGAAGAGAGTGAGAGAGAGAGAGAGGGGTGGAAGAGAGTGAGAGAGAGAGAGAGGGGTGGAAGAGAGTGAGAGAGAGAGAGAGGGGTGGAAGAGAGTGAGAGAGAGAGAGAGGGGTGGAAGAGAGTGAGAGAGAGAGAGGGGTGGAAGAGAGTGAGAGAGAGAGAGAGGGGTGGAAGAGAGTGAGAGAGAGAGAGAGAGGGGTGGAAGAGAGTGAGAGAGAGAGAGGGGTGGAAGAGAGTGAGAGAGAGAGAGAGAGAGAGAGAGAGGAGTGGAAGAGAGTGGAGAGAGAGAGAGAGAGAGAGAGGGGTGGAGAGAGAGTGAGAGAGAGAGAGGGGTGGAAGAGAGTGAGAGAGAGAGAGGGGTGGAAGAGAGTGAGAGAGAGAGAGGGGTGGAAGAGAGAGAGAGAGAGAGAGAGAGAGAGGGGTGGAAGAGAGTGAGAGAGAGAGAGGGGTGGAAGAGAGTGAGAGAGAGAGAGGGGTGGAAGAGAGTGAGAGAGAGAGAGAGGGGTGGAAGAGAGTGAGAGAGAGAGAGAGAGAGGGGTGGAAGAGAGTGAGAGAGAGAGAGGGGTGGAAGAGAGTGAGAGAGAATTGGAGAGAGAGAGAGAGAATGGGAGAGAGAGAGAGAGAGAGAGAGAGAGAGAGAGGGAGAGAGAATGGGAGAGAGAGAGAGAGGGAGGGAGAATGGGAGAGAGAGGGAGGGAGAATGGGAGAGAGAGAGAGAATGGGAGAGAGAGAATGGGAGAGAGAGGGAGGGAGAATGGGGGAGAGAGGGAGGGAGAATGGAAGAGAGAGGGAGGGAGGATGGAAGAGAGAGGGAGGGAGGGAGGATGGAAGAGAGAGGGAGGGAGGATGGAAGAGAGAGGGAGGGAGGATGGAAGAGAGAGAGTGAGTGAGGATGGAAGAAAGAGAGAGAGAAGGGGGGGAGGTTGGGGGAGAGAGACGGTGGTAGAAAGAGAGATTTGCAGTTCAGTTTTGGGCACATCAAAATTGACACTCGCTTGAATGTTTACAAATAAAGAAGACGGTTATTCTCAGGAAATAGAAATAAATACAAATCAAGAAAGGTTAAATTACATTCTTTTGAAAGGCAATGAATTGGGGGGGGGGGCATAATTGAAGTACGGTACATAGTATTTAAGTTAAAAGGGTGATATTAAGGTGCTAAAATGTATCAACATAAAATGTAATACCATACAAAATAATCAATACAAATTGTATAATTTTAGATTCAGAAAAGATCCTTGATAAATACAGGTTTGGGAATAGAATTGTAGATAATTACTTAAGATCAAATTGCTTGAGAATATAATATACGTGTAATTGCTAGATTGTTTGTCATAGTATAGATATATTGTGTTAGAGAGTTGAGTATTAAAACACACCCTGCACTTTGCAAGCAATTTTGCCTAGGTTTGTATCCTGGCCGGGGAGGATTGGCAAGGTGCCAATCCATAGCTGTGTGCTTCTGTTCACCCAGTAGTTATTGGGTACCTAGTTGTTAAATGATTGGAGGGTCATTTTCCAGGGAAACTAGTAGGTAGGGCTTACCATGAGCTATGGGATTGGAAAGCTCTCAACCTGATAACTGGAGATAACGGTTGTCTGTTCCTGTACCCACCTCTGTAAAACAAACAAAAAAAAACATATTCCTGCTTATTTTTATATTATTATATAAATAAGTTCAGGCTGTACTGTAGCTTGTCATAACTAACAATTGTATATTGGATATGCAGCTTTATATTCATTTAATTTTCAGTGTCCCATCTTCTGTCTGGCATGGACACCAGAGGGTCGACGCCTGGTGACAGGAGCCTCATCAGGGGAATTCACTCTCTGGAATGGTCTCACCTTCAACTTCGAAACTATATTACAGGTTAGCATATTTTCCAAGCTTTGAATGATTTTAATTAACATACAAAATACTCAGGGGAATTGACAGTGCAGACTATTTAGCATGGTTTGGTAGAAATCAACTGGCTCAGAATTCTGTACATCATTTGATTGAGAGGTGAGACCCAAGAGCTGAAGCTAAGCCCAAGTAAGTACATCTGAGTACAACTAGTCACCAACTTGCTAACCGACTTCTTTGGTATCAGCAGGGTTTAACCCTCTTAACTACTTCTATTGCCTGTTGGAGATTTAACACTTAACTTTCCAACCTGTCGGTGCCTTCCAGACTGTAAATGTTATGGGCATCTCGGGGTGGGTTCTTCTCGGTGACACCTAAAATGCTTATACTGTACTCTCCTAGTGTTTTCTAAGTTGTTTGGTTATTACTATAAATTTCACGTTAAAATTTTCACAAATGAATTTGCTCTCTTGTGGTTACCCTGCATTGTTTCCGAGGATAAACATTTCTGTGGCCCAGTCTCTGATCAGGCCTCCTCGTTGGTAGTCAGGTCCACCAGGCGATTATACACAGCTACTTGCGGCCTGACATATGAATCACAGCCCAGCTTATCAGGTATCATTTGGAGATGTGTGTCAAGTTCTTTTTTGAACACCATGAGAGGTCAATTAATAATTCCTCATATATTTAGAGCATAGCTGCAAAACAAAATGTGATTTGATAGTAGAATTTGTGTTACAGTAATGAATAGACAAATTTTTGTAAACATATCAACATTTCTCATTCATTTTTCAACATGAATGAAAATAAAATGTGGAAATATTGCACATTATTGACCTATGTTATCTTGAGGTTATCTTGATGATTTTGGGGCTTAGCCTCCCCATGGCCCATTATCAACCAGTCCTCCTTTTTGTTACATACCCCCAGGAAGCAGCCCGTAGCAAGCTGTCTAACTCCCAGGTACCTATTTACTGCTAGGTGAACAGAAGCATCAGGGTGAAAGAAACTTTGCCCCTTTATTTCTACCTCCACCAGGGATCGAACCCGGAACATTAGGACTACGAATCCTGAGCGCTGTCCACTCAGCTGTCAGGCCCCTTTAATGTTACTCTAAAAATAAAAAATAAAAACATACAGTATATACTTTTCTAGCAGATAATTTGCTAAGCTTTGTGAAAATTCTAACAAGCAGAGCAGTTATCTCGAGCAATAGGTAGTTAGCCAAGGTGATTTTTGGATGGTCCCCTGATACACTATGTCCACACTGCTCAAATAATAATAATAATAATGAACAAATCCATAGGAGCCGTGATTAGGGTTCGAACCTATGTGCTGGGTGTTCCCAGGCACGCTCGTCTACTGTGCCACAACATGGTAAAAGAATTGCAACCTGGGGTACTACTGCAGGTTGCAATTAACCGGGGTTTCACACAATTCCTCCATTTTAGGCTTTAGTGGAACCCTTGAGACCCTTGTGGGTGCAGTAGTACCCTAGGTTGCAATTCTTTTACCATGTCGTTAATTTGATTTCTGTGTAGTAATAATAATAATAAAAAGTAAATAAATAAAGTTAATGTCATGAATTTTGAGATGGATGGTAGTTTTAGCTGCATCAGAGCCAATACTGTCATATTATTTATAGAGAGTTTGTGTCATCAGAATGCTAGTGTTTAATGTGATCTATAATATACAGAAGCCCTGAAGATTCTGTGTGTATATCATTCAATACTAGAAGGCTCTGGCAATTGTTTCACATATTAAAAAAATTCTGAAGCATTAGCACCTTTCTGGGAATTGATAAAAAAAAAAGGGAGTTACTGTACACCGTCAGGGCATAAACATCCATTTATTGATGCCCATGTTAGGAGCCAAGGATGCCATGCAAAATTTGAAGGATTATATGGACCTGGAAGCTATTAGTGATGAGAATTATATTACAAATAGTTAACACAAAAATAAATGTTCAGAATTTGACATTTTCAATATTTCTTCACCTCGCTACAACCATGTTCAAATTATTAGAATTTAGGTCCCACTGTAAGAAATAAATGTTTTATGATATATGAAGGTAAGAATTTTTTTGGTTCACCAGGAAATTGACTTAATTTAGGGGTGCACATTTAGGGGGTTAATTACGACATTTTGTTTGAATAAACTCTCAAACGTCTTTGTAACATTCAAGTTCAGTCGGATCTCAAAATCGACACTGAAGGTAGTAGAACCCTTAACCCTTAAATGGCGCATAGCTATATACCATTTGACACCCACAGGCGCATACCAAAAAAAAAAAAAAAAAATATCTTCCTAACCTGTTAATTTGTGTTCACTGATCACGGCAAAAATAATAAAAAAATCGTAAGTGGCATATATTGCCCACTATAGGGCGGGGAATTCTGGCAAAAATCAGGCGCTGACTAAGCGTGCGTCCCAGGCGGTCTGTTGATCGCCAGCTGTCAGGCCAGAGTTTCCTCAAAGAGATAATTACCTAATTATTTTAATGTCTCTGATTGATTTTTCGTAGTTTTTTAGCTGTAATATTATTCAATAGTGTGTAGTGTGATATATTTATATAATAAAATGAGTGAATCATCGCTGTACTCAAAAATATGGTGTGCATATTGTTGATTCAATTATGTTCATCAAACAGTGAACAAATACTTTGTCGGTTATTACACTTTATACACAGGTTATATATAAGTATCTGCATGTTTTGTTCACCATGACGAACCACTAAGTTGGTATGCTGAGTGGCAGTGACTGGTTGCCACTGGCTGCCACTCCCTCCCTCACCTCACCTCACCTGATTTGCCACCATTCTCCACCCACCATACTGTTTTTCCTTTTATATACAGATGTTATATATAAGTATTTACATATTTTGTTCACCATAACTGTACATCTAAGCTTGTATGGTGAGTAAAGGCACAAAGACGTAGCTACTCACACAGTCAGCTGGTGGCGGCCGCCCTCAAGGCCAGACGCACTAATATTTCTCCTACAACAATACTGTTTGTGGTGTTATTACGCTTTATACACACATTATATATAAATATCTACCTGTTTTATTCACCATACTTGTACAAGTAAACTGGTATGGTGCCCAAAGACCATCGTGGTCATCAGTAAACAACATGATAAGTTCTGCAGACGACGCTCCTCCCTCACCAAAATGGCGGCTCCCAACCTCCTACTCTCGCTGTTATCTCACACTATACACATGTTATATATAAGTATCTACATTTGTGTTCACCATAGCAAACCACTAAGCTGGTATGGTGAGTGCAGTCAATAAAAGGTGGCCCCACACACTCAAAAGACAACGCCACCATCCTCCCTCCCACAGCATTACTCCTCCCTCCATGGCGCACAGTGCCAAATATCACCACAATCCTGCTATTATCAGAATCCTGGTCAGTTTTATCACAGTTAGGGGTCTTCTGTAATAATATCATCGCTACATAATAGCATGAACAAGTATATTATGGCATTTTTAGGCGATGCTGTGGCCACAAGCTGAACAGCAGTGCTGTGAGTTCATGCTGCGTGCGTCAGGCTTGGTAGCTGACTCAATACTGAGGCCCCTAACACCCGGGAGTTTGGCCCACGATTTTTTTAAAAAATGGCGTCTGTTTACAAGAGCCCTGATAAAGGTGTGGTGAACCCCGTGTGTCCGCGGGCCGTTTAAATCTTGCATAGTACTCCAAAGCATCACATGATGCGTCACATGATGCGATTCGCAATTTACTGCAAGTCGGTCAAAGCATCATATGATGCGATGCGCAATTGAAGGGTATACAGTATTGTGGTTGACAAATAATAATAATAATAATAATAATAATCAGAAGAGTGACCCGAACTTGCACATTTTCAATGTTTAACCACTGCACTGCTCAGAGCGCCTTAAGGTGTGCCTAATCAGGGGTGCGCAGAGTGCCATATGGCGCTTTTAGGTATATGGAGCGATTCAAAACTCACGTGGCTACATGGGGCTCACATCCTGTGCCTCAGGACTCCAGTAAATAGATGCCATCTTGAGAAAAAAAAAATCATTGGCATCCATTTTGGCTGTGAGAGCTTCAGTACTGAGAGAGTGATCAAGGCTGGTACATGCAGGAGCAGCTCACAGCACCACTGTGCAGCTAGGGGCCACAGTACAACAACTTGGTAATGAAGAATAAAATAGGTAACTAATTATTTTGCATTGAAAGTGTCATAAATGATCCTGACTGATAAAGACTATGTACAACATTCAGATATGAGTGAACACAATGCTATTTATAATATTCACAGCATAAGTTAGAGAGACAGCACCCAGCCATTGTTTCCTGCATCTTCATATCATGAAATGACCTCATCTTCCCTACAATATAACCTTGGGAAAATGGATTCGTATTCGGCATTTTTGTGATAGAAATGTGGTAATAACAGCAGTTTTGTAGCTGGTCATAGAGAGATAGTAGAATATTGGAAGCATTGTCTTGCATCATGGGACTTCTGACATCGTCTGTTTGTATCTTGTGGCTCCATGTTCTGTTTTGATTTCATTACCATATAGAACTGCTTGTTAGTTTATGGTGCATATAAATGTTGATAGTGCAACATACAGTACAGTGTAATGTTGACCAATCCACATACTAGAAAATGAAGGGACGACGACGTTTCAGTCCGTCCTGGACCAGTCAATTGTGTATAGTGTAATAACAGCAAGAACACTGTTTGGTTGATCTAAGAATATAATATACTGTACATGTTGCTGTATATGAGTCCTATATTTTTGAGAATAGCAATATTAGACATGTTTAACTATATAAGATTCCACAAATTACACACTATTGAATAATATTACTGCAAAGAACTAGATATAAACCATTCGCAGACACTGAAATAATTATGTAAAATTTTATTTGGGGTAGCCCCTGTCACAGCTGTTGCCCACTAGGCAGACTTTGGATTCTTGTTCTGCTTATATAAACTCTCAACACACGATCTTTGTGGTTCATTATGGTGCACAAAAAATGCAGTTCATTATATAACATGTGTATATAGTATATTAACAGCAAAAACACTATTTGATTGATCTTAGAGTATAATGTGTCACCATATACAAGATCCATAATTTTGAGCATAGTGATATTCCACACATTTAACTACATAAATTCCACAAATTGCACACTTTTGAATGATATTAACCCTTAAACTGCGCATGGCGTATATATACGCCTGGAGTAACATGTCCCACCGTACGCATGGCATATATATATACGACATAGGGTGCCGGGCATGATTCAAATGGTTTGTGGCTACACAGGGTTCACATCAGCTTCCTCAGGGCTCTTATAAACAGACACCATGTTTAAAAAAATCGTAGGCAACATTATCCGATGTGAGAGCCACAGTACTGTACTGTGTGAGCAACCAAGGCTGGTGCACACAGCATGAGGTAACAGCATTGCTGTTCAGCTTGTGACCACAGCATCTCCTAAAAATGTCAAAATATATATGTAACTGCTATTATTTAACGATGACGGTATTACAGAAGACCCCTGACTGATAAAAATGACCAGGATTGTTGTGATAATTAGCGCTTTGTAGGAGGAATAATGCTGAGGGAGGTAGGGAGATAGCATCATTTACTGTGTGGCCACCTGTTATTGTCTGCATTCACCATACCAGGTCAGTGGTTCTCTATGGGGAACATAAATGTAGATACTTATATATAATGTGTTTATATTAGTGTAATAACAGCAAAAAAATTATGTTGGGAGGAGCTATTTGGGTGATGAAGGTGGTGTCATCTGCATGATTTGTCTGTGTAGAGGGGTGGCCACTATGCTCTTTGGGAACCCTATAAGCTTATATAAGCTTAGGTGTACAGTTACGGTGAATACAATATGTAGATACTTATATATAATGTGTGTACATAGTGTAATAACACTACAAAGAGTATTGTTGGGGGAGAAATTTTATTGCGTCTGGCCTTGAATAAGTGAGGGAGGCAGCTGCCAGCTGACTGTGTGTGTAGCGACATCTCTTAGTGCCTAAACTAACTATATCAGCTTAGTTGTACAGTTGTGGTGAATAAAACATGTAGATACTTGTATATAATGTCTATATATAGTGTAATAACAGCAAAACTATTTGTTTATTATTTTATGAACATAATAATTGAATCACTAATATGCACACCATACTTTTGAGTATAGTGATGATTCACCACTTTTATTATATAAATCTATCACACTACACACTGTTGAATAATATTACTGCAAAAAAAAAAATAAGAAAAAATCACACATTGAAATAATTAGGTAATATCATCTTTGTGGCAACTCTCACCTGACAGCTCAGGTGTCGCTGACTTCCTCTGCCTCTTTCTGCCAAAATATGTCACCTGCAATTTTTTTTCCCCATGCTCAGGGAACACAATTTAACATTTTTAGAAGACCAAAAAAAAATTATTTGTTGTTTCTTGTGCACAGGGGTGTAAACCTCCTCAGAACCCCTTAGCAGCTTAAGAGTTAAAGCAAAAAACCAGAGAAGAAACGAATGAGACACATTGAAATAATTATAAACAATTATATTCACGGCAACTGCCACCCGGCAGGGTAGTGGGGTCGAGTGTGTCAAAGTGCCTACTCATTCAGTGCCCATAAGTTGCTCAACTTCTCGGCTCCATCAAAGCTTAACCCTTAAACCGCGCATATCATATATATATGATATCAGTGACAAAACCGAAACCGCGCACATCATATATATATGCTGTCTAGCGCTATACTGTACAGTAATTTAAGCGCTATAATTTAAACGTCCCACCTGGGATAGGGGCAGCTATAGTACAGCCACGACCAATAGTTGCCAGGTGCCACCTAGAAAAAAAATCCAGGCCAACATTCTTGGGTGTTAGAGCGTCAGTATTGAGCAAGCCACCAAGGCTGGTGCACACAGCACGAGCTCACAGCACCGTTGTTCAGCTTTTGATCACAGCATCGCCTACAAATGCCATAATATACATGATACTGCTATTATTTAGCAATGATAGTATTATAGAAGACCCCTGACTGTGATAAAACTGACCAGGATTCTGATAATAGCAGGATTGTGGTGATATTTAGCACTGTGCTCCATGGAGGGAGGAGTAAGGCTGTGGGAATGAGGGGTTGTGGCTTCGTCTTCTGACTGTATGTGGCCACCTTTTATTGACTGCACTCACCATACCAGCTTAGTGGTTCGCTATGGTGAACACAAATGTAGATATTTATATATAACGTGTGTATATTGTGAGATAACAGCAAGAGGAGTAGGGTGGGAGCCGCCATTTTGGTGAGGGAGATGCGTTGTCTGCACGACTTGTCATGTTGTTTACTGGTGGCCACTATGGTCTTTGGGCACCATACCAGCTTATTTGTACAGGTATGGTGACTAAAACAGGTAGATACTTATATATAATGTGTGTATATAGCGTAATAACACCACAAACAATATTGTTGGAGGAGAAATATTAGTGCATCTGGCCTTGAGGGCGGCCGTCACCAGCTGACTGTGTGAGTAGCTACGTCTTTGTGCCTTTACTCACCATACAAGCTTAGATGAACAGTTATGGTAAACAAAACATGGAAATACGTATATACAGTATAACGCCTGTGTATAGTGAATAAATGCAAAAACAGTATTGTGGGAGGAGAATGAGGGCGAGTGAGGTGTTGTTGAGGAAGGGAGTGGCTGGCTGGTGTGTGGCGGTCACTCCTCGTTGCTTTTTGACTCCTAAGACCAACTTAGTAGTTCGTTATGGTGAACAAAACATGCAGTACAACAGTACAGTCGACAATCGACTTGAGAATGGTCCAGGACGAACCGAAACGTCGTCGTCCCTTCACCTTCTAGTGTGTGGTCTGGTCAACAATAGAGCATTCTTTTTATAAGAAAATCAGTAGAAGCAACGAGGAGGATTCGAGCCCGTACATTTGGTATTCCCAAGCACACGCCCTTGACCACTACACCATGACATGGTTAAAAGCAATGAAACTTGTGATTCAACTGAATTCTCTCGGGGTCCTGAGGCTACTACTGAAGCCCAATCAGGGGGTTTTACACATTGCCCCCATGCACTCTAGCTGTGGTACAGGAGTGCTCTCTCCAACGCTTATAAATCACGTTAATGTAATTTCATTGTGTATTTTTGTTATAATTAATGTATACAAATACAAACATGTTGTCATAACCTACTGGTGTTTTCTTCTGTTAAGTTATCTGTGCTTCTAACATGTATAGAAATTTTGTAATATTTGAAAAACTTGGTTCTGGGGGATCAGGGGAAGATTTTTGAAGGTAGTCATCAAAGGGTTAAGGCTTGGAAGCTAATAACTAATAGTGGCATGTTTTATTATTATGAATTTGTTCCTTGACAGGCTCATGACAGCAGTGTGCGGACGATGGTATGGTCTCATAACGACCAGTGGATGGTGACTGGCGACACTGGTGGTTTTGTCAAATACTGGCAGACGAATATGAACAATGTGAAGCTCTTCCAGGCTCATAAGGATCCTGTGCGTGGTCTCAGGTACACCCAGTCCATATCCTTATGTCACCGTCCCCTTCTCATAATTATCTGTTCAAGTTGCCCCATATTTTCACTGAGGAATCTTCATTATCAGAAATTTCTTATCATTTTTACATACTCCTTCGCACAAATAGAGGTCAGTGCATTTAGTCTTTTATTAGCACACACATACTACAAAAGTTTCCCTGTGTTGATAAATCATCATGAGGGCACTAAGCTGCACTTTCTGCATTTTTGTTTGATACCATTTGCTATTAAGATCCCATATCATGGTATCCACCTTAGAAAATATATTCGGGATTCTCAGTTGATTCGTCAAACATTTCACATATTCACGATTACTTTTGAACTATACTTGGTATCAGTGGCTTTGGGGGCCGTACTATTCCTTTTCTGTTCAATTTTGTGGGTGCTCCTTACAGTTACACGGACTTTCTATCACATTTTGTATGCATTTTGTAGATTATTCTTTCTTTATCACTTATTTTTTATTATTTTGATTGTTCATTTTGTTATTAATACTAGTTTCAAATTAAATTTCGTTTGGTATAGTCAGTTATTTACAGGTATATCCAAATTATTATTTTACTTATAAAATCTTTCATGATCTTTGAACTTCCCATCCTTGCAATCTGCACCCATGGAATCATCTTTTACATACGCTGCATCCCTTTTGTTGCTAACCAGAGGTAACACAATCCACCATACCTATAATTTGCCAGGTGATTAGTAGGACAAAAGGCTAAAATTTATGAAATAAACACATACCAAATGATTTTAAGTAATGTTAAAAAATGTAGTTAGCATAGCCAACTGTATTTAACATTTCTTGTATTATATGGATATTTGAAGACAACCAATAAAGATTTACCTTTATCCTCTTAACATAGGGTGAAACTTTATACTTTACTAGTGACTAAATAAAGAATAACCTACATTGCTCGACAAAACATAGTAGTTCTTCGGTTTTTGGAATGTTGGTGATTGGTACATGAATATATTCTACAAACTCCTTACACTTTATCATTGTTTATAGTAGATCACTGAGTTCATTGTGCATTACTCAATAAGTGTGATGTAATTTTTTTTAATACAATAAAAGCAAATATTTATCCTATCTTCGAGATTATTACCAGTATTCTTTTTGTAAAGTTATGTAGAAGACTGCAAACCAAGAACTGTTCCTTTTGTAATCTTTTCATCGGCATAACCCAATAAAGTTCATCCATCCTTATCCATCGCACAAGCCATCTGCCAACTGTGATCAGTTTTGTGATTGCTGTTATTGTAAATTCCTTGTAAATATAATGACTTCTCAATAAAATAGGTGAACATGCTCTATAGGCTCACCTGGGTAGTGGCAGGTGGACTTCTCATTGGTCAGTCTGTCACCCCCAGAGGCCTGTTTTTATTCACCTATCATTCGTTAGTATCTCGCTAAATTACCACTTAATTGACAGAGAGAAGCAACAGTATATCTGTAAGAAAATGTCCAATACAAAGAGGAAGAAGTCTCACCCAGATAGTTTTTGAAAACATTAAATGGATACACAGAAAATTATACAAAGAATGAATTTTGTAGTGAATATAAGCCACCAAACATTTTTTATGTTAGTGTAATAAAGTGAATTTTAAGTTTGGTATTAAGTTAATGAATTTTTAAGAGCCAATAAATATTTGAACATGAATTCTGCCAGATCGATGAACTGCATGTGACAATACGTACTGTTAATGCAAGAAGACATTATTTTTTTATACAAACTTGAAATTTAGAGTAATGCTTGATATTGAAAGCTAAATATTTTGCTGAAATATAAATATCAAACACTAAGAATATACAGTATATAGATTTTTACAAAAGTTATCAAACTGTTTAAATAAATTTTAACAATTCAAGATAAGGCAAATGCTTAAAACTGCTGAATTTGTTTTTAAACATTGATAAAATGTATACAGTAGTAATATTAATGTAATAATGTTGTTGAAATAAATCTTAACGATTGGTCATATTCTATTAGTAAAATAAAATACACCTAACTAGAAGAAAATACAGTATGGGTTTTTAGTGGACAAATGGGCCTTTGGCATAAAGTTGTGCAGTACAGTATTTAGATTGCCTGATTTGAATTGTTGCTTTTATTAGATATTTGCTTGTCTTGGGGATCAAATAATGCAGACCATACTCCACTCCCATCACCAACACACACACACACATGTTGTGCATAAGTGTATCCTTTCCACAAATGTCTTTCCACAGTTTTTCCCCAAGTGACCAGAAGTTTGCCACTGGCTCAGATGACGGAACAGTTAGGATATGGGACTTTTACCGCTGTTATGAAGAAAAAATTCTTAGAGGTAAGGAAAAATAGACATCACTGTTTTGCCAACAGGGTGCATTATGCTATGGTTATGTATTGTAGTGTAAAATACTGTTTTTATTGTATCATTATATGGTAATGTTCTCATCAGTTAGTCATATATGGGCAATAGAGAAGCAGCATTAATGATATGAACACTGTTCTTATTGGAATTAAGGACCTTTCATATGTATACCCTGTATATATATATATATAAATTCATGAATTAGATGCAGGTTATTCAGTAAGCTCCTACTTGAACGTACAGATTTGTACCAAACCCCAATTCCAGTACAGGAACTTTAGTTGCATCCAAACATTATTATTTAAACCAAAAAATTACCAGTCATTATTTTCTTATTATTGCAGATGATAGAAGCACATTTATTCTCACTTTGATATAGAAATTATTGGGAAAATGTATTTTTTTCTTGTCTGGTTAAAAACTTTTGATGCCAAATTTCAGTTTTCTGTTTTTTGTTGCATTCTGATTTCCAGTTGAGTAAGGGCCATTCAATCCGAAGTCAACTGTGCGGTATTGTACTTTCATTTTATTTTATTTTTTCTCTTTAAATTTTGAAAAGTTAAGTGTGTGTGCAAAGATGTATGTAGAAATTAGAAAATGAGAAAAATTAAGACTTTACTACCTATACATAGATGCAGTTATATGTGGCTGTGTAGTTATTGAATGGGTTGTTTATATTTGTGGATCTCGTGACTAAAAATCCAATTGAGTACAGTTGAAGTATCAAAACTTAATTGAAGTTCAGACAAGCATAAACAATAGGTCTGTGCGGCCTGTCTCATACCCATGAGGAGGAGAATTTAGCAAATTAAGTTTTAATAATTAACTTATTAACTGGGAACTAATAGACCATGACCTCACAAAAATATACTGGAAACAACAGTTGAATAACATAAACTAAGTCAGTGTCTTGAGAGAATAGACACCATGACACTATACATATGCCCAGTTCATATCTATCACAAGATATCGTATCACAAGAAATTAGATAAAAATGCAATAGGAATGAATGGTAAGCTAAAAACAAAAGAAATGATGGAATTATAGTACACAAATGCCCTTCTCTGTCCTGAGAACAAGAAAAACTGCTAGATAAATAGTTATTTAGCTAAAACTGTAAGGATAAAATCAAATCTAGGATACACAGTGAAAATAGATATCAGTAAAATTTACAAGCATCAAACATGTTTCTCGTGCAAAGTCGAGAACAAAAACCAGTATTGGGCCCCTTGCATGAGGGAGATGGAATGTTTGTTATTGGTTACAAAAAAATTAGTGAAATATTGAGGACACAGTATGACTTCTTTTCATTAACCTCTTTAACACTGAAGATTTGACAACCTAAATGAATTAATTCATGAATGTGATGCCAACCTCTATTTATATCTCGGATATCACTAACCCCATTGGACTTCGAAGTGGAACAACATGCTTGTACACCCTGCCCCAGGGGCCAAGCCTCTTGGAATAATGTATTCATCAAGAATTTTAAAAATGGCTTATTACATGCCCTAAACATAATAGAGATATACAGCCTAGATATTGGTATCATCCCTATCATGCTTAAAATGGGGTAGTAAAGCAGAAGCAATAAATTTTAGACTGATAGTACTAACGTCACACATCATAAAATCTTTGAAATAGTGCAAAAAAAGTAAGATGAAAAAGCACAAAATCACAAGACCTTTATAATCCTGGCCTAACATGGGTTCAGAGTGGGTTTCTCCTTCCTCTCACAATTGATATACTCCTATGACATAGACTTTGATGCCATGGAAGAGAAGCAAAATGCCTTTGTGATATACACTCACTTTGCAGAGGCTTTTGACAAACATAACCATGGTGTAATTGCACACACAAGGAATAATTGGCAAAGTAGGAAGATGGATCTTAATTTTCCTAACAAGCAGAAACCAGAGTTTGAATCAACAAAATACAATTTGGATTATTCAGTGATAAGTTTAGTACCCCCTCTGTACTGTACTGGCTTCAGTACTCCTCATTCTCATACCAGTCAATGACAAATTATCACAGTACTATATTATCCTTTATGGATGATACTAGTAGTTCAGAAGTAGAAAGTACAGAGGATGCAGCATATCTCCAAACTGATATAAACCAGGTCTTTCACTGAGTCACAGAAAACATGATTTTCAATGAAGACAAGTTCCAGGTCCTGTGCTATGTAGACATTAAAACAAACCATGTACTGTATTGTACTATATAAAACAGCCAAACCACACTAGAGAAAGAAAGAGGCAACGTAAAAGACCCCGGGAGTATTCATGTCAGATGATAATCGGAGTGAGCACAATAGAGCAGCTGTAATAACTACAAGAAGAATAATAGGCTGGAGAACGAAAACCTTTCAAACATGAGATATCAAATCAATGATGGTACTTTTCAAGACTAGTGCTGACTAGGGTGGAATACATATTTTTGAATACTAACAGCCCCATTCAAAGCTAGAGAAACCATTCACTAAAACATCTAAGTTATTGTGACTGCTTAAAATCACATAAATTGTACTACCTTGAGGATATGTGAAAGAAATAATAATAATTTGCACCTGGAATGTATTAAGAGGGACTAGTTCCCAAACTGCACATTGAAATACCAATTCCTTAAGAGGCCAGAAGGCATTACAATGTGTAACACAGCCCCACTGAAAAGGGTGTAAAAGTACTTATAGTAATTATATGATCAAAAATACAGTTTAAATATGTTATGATGGACCACCAGAAAACACTTATTATTGAATTTGAACAAACCAGAGAAGTTTTTGTTTGTTATTAATAAGACCTAACTATCCTAGGCCTAATACATGATATTTGAGGCCTACTATAGTACATATGTGCTATACTAGGTCTAGGAATATTTAAGTTTGGTTTTAGCCTGATTTTCCAGACTGGAACAAACTGTACAAAAAGTGGCTTACTAGGCCTCCATTAGTACTGTATTGGTACTGTACTTTCAACCACAGTTACAAAAAGTCCTATCATTGCAGAGGAAGAGGATGGGTTGGGAAATGGCTAGCTGATGTCTATGTTCAAGAGGTAATTTAATGAACACCTCCAAATGGTACCAAGAGATGTGGTCACTGACCGAGTTGTGGGGACATCAGTCCTTAGAACTAACTTGGGGGTAACCTATAATGTAAACTTACATTGCAGGTTAAATTGAAATCGTTAAATTATTAAATTTAAAATGTAAATTTGTGTTTGTGGTTTAAGTTTGTTGCCTACGAGGAGGGCAGGAACATGAGGTAACCTTGTTGCTAATAAGCAACACTCGTGTGTGTTGGTACTTATACTCTCGGTATGAAATGCCTACAAAAGCTTTCTTTGTTAAAATAATTCAGTAAATGGAATTTTCTATTTCTCTGTTTAACCTATCTGTAAAATCTTTGTAATGCTTTTTCTCTGATCATTATTGTCCTTTTATAAAGTACAGTACTGTAGTTAACTTTGATTTCAATTTCTTATTATTTTAATATCTGAAGACAATTGCCACCACAAAATAGCATCAAATTAGTTAAAAAATCAGAACAAACTAAATTCAATTTTTCCATTTAATTTGTAACACTAGAATTTTTGAACAATATTATAATGAAATTGATACAGGCTTTTATTTGTATTAGATTGCGAGACATTAATTAGAGCCTGGCAGTTATTAGACAGTCTTTAACAAGCATGTGTTTTTTTTTTTAAATAGAAATATGTAATGCAAGGGGAACAGATGATTCTTGAAAAACTGAAGATCAGAGATAGTGGGAAAAACATATGGTCATAGTCTAATTCTGGCTTAGCACTTTTTGATTATCAAAAACACACTCGGCTATTTTGAAAAAAATATGCAGGCAATGAATCACAATAATGTGGCTGAAGATATGTTATCCAAACCACACATCAGAAAATGAAGAAACAATGACATTTGTTTGTCCTGGACCATTATTAAATCATGTAATGGAAAGAGAAGAAGAAATTAACAATACGAGGGAAGAGAGTAAGATGAAAGGATGAATGAAAGAAAAAGATGAATATAAGAATAAGATGAAAGGAAAGAATATCTTCCCAGTTACCTCTACATGTTGTTGGTTCTGGGAATCAATGTCGCTGTGGCCCAGTCTGTGACTAGGCCTCCTGATTGGTGGTGTGGTTAACCAGACTGTTGGACAGTGCTGTTCGCAGTCTGACATGAATCTCAGCTCGGTTGATCTTGTATTCTTTAGAGGTGGTTATCAAGTTCTCTTGAACAATGTGAGAGGTTGGCTAGTTATGCTTCTTACATTTAGAGGGAGAGTGTTGAAAAGTCTTGGGCCCTTAATGTTCATACAATTATTTCTTAGCATACCTATTGTACTTCTTTCAATGGGCTATTTTGCATTTCCTGCCATGCCTCCTGGCCTCATAAGGATTTATTTGTGTGTGCAACTTTGGAATCAGTCCCTCTAATATTTTTTTCCAAATGTGAATTATTATGTACATATCTTAGATTTAGAAATGTTGAACATTCCTAATACTTTAAATGTTAATTAAATGGAATTGGGCCGTAAAAGATCTCTGCACGTTTTCCAGGTCAGCAACTTTTGCTTTGAATGGGTCAGTTAGTGTGTGTAACAATATTCCACCCCAGAGAACACTAGTGTCTTAAAAAAAAGTTCTGTGTCATCACTGGTCTGGCATCTCTTGTTTGAAAGATTTGTATTATCCTGCTTGTCATTTTTCTTGTAGTTGACACCTACTTTATATTGTTCTTTAAAATTAAGATCCTTTGAAATTATTAATCCCTAGTCTTTTGTATTGTTTTTTTCATTGTTTGATTTGACTGTTTTGTATATGATTTCTATTTCTATATTTTCGATTTTACAATAGTGCTGACTGAGGCAGGAACTTTCTTCATCAAACATTATGTTTTCTGTGATCCATTGAAGTCCAGATTTACATCAGTTTGTAGGTTTAATGTGTCCTCTA